TATATTATAAGAGAGTCTCATGATAGCTTAGAGTTCTTATCATTCTTTTTTTCTAACTTAATACTGTGATCTATCTCTGAGTCTTGTAAGAAAGATATGTTTGTAATATTATCTTATCAGAAGACATCTAGATATTCATGATATTATTAAGAGAGTTTTGTATGAGAATCTGTTATTATAGTATAGAATAACTTGTTTAGAGCTTTCTTGATATTAATCAGACTGATGAAATAGATTGTTACATAATTCTGCTATCAGTAATCTTTTCAGCAACTTTCTTTTCAGAGCATTTCATAGATGTTGACAGAGATCTGTGTCAGATTCATAGTCTTGTGAATATTATCTTGATAAACTCTGTTATTATTAGGGAATATTAAGCTCCTGTTTTAAGTGTTCAATAAGATGTCTTATTCAGATAGTCAGATAAGTTCTAACATAAGATTATAGTTAAGATTATTAACTTCATATATGTAGACATCTTCACATTGATATTCTCTGACATCTATGTTCAACTTCATTATATAACAGGTATAAATGTCTTTTGAGCCATCAAATCCTGTAAGAAGTCAGGGTTTTGATAAGAGAATACACTGAAGATTGTAACATCTTATGACTGAAGATTTAATCATTGCATAATGACATAGACTGCTGTCTATCATGGCTTTGATATTATACATATTATTGACCACAGTAGATACAAGAATTGCATTCATTGCTATTTTCTCTTTAAATTGTTATCATCTGACCTCTTCAAGTTTCTGTTTACAAATTTGAATAGAAGCTAATCTTTTCTCTGTTTCATCAGAGTATTCTCATAGTTATCTTCTGAATCTTTCTTCAATACAATATGATTAATGTGAACAGGTATTGATTCATTCTTTGAGCAAGGAGATATGTAGATCAATTGACAGTTGAAAGTAATATACTCTGATCAGATACAGTTGATACACACTTCTCATTGACATTGATCAGTAACTTCTTCAGAAGTGATTTCAGAGACTCAGAAGCCTGTTTGAACAGCAGAGACTCTTGCTTATATATAGACATTTGAGTCTACTCAGTTCATAGCATCTGCATCATTGTTATTATTTCTCAGTGCAGATGTATAAGTGACTGAGTTAGTTCTCAGTGCAGGTGTGTGAGTGTAACATCTTCTGTTACTATTCTGTATACTCTTGAGCTTGATAAGACAGTTATTCAATGTTCAGAGCTGTGTACAGAAGTCTTCATAAGTCAGGTCTTTGTTTACACTTATAAGAGTCTGTAAGAGTTTAAAAGTTAGTGTCTTCTTGAGTATACTAATCTTCATTCAATTCTCTCAAGATTGATTACCTGCTTCTAAGATCTTAATATTGAAGTCAGAAATAAATGTTGTAAGAGAAGTATTTCTTTATCAGATACTCTGTAATCAATTTAATACTTTCTGTTGCATGACAGTGTCTTAGAACAGAGTATCAAGATATTTAATAATATTATCAGATATTTATAATACTGATTTATATACTTTCATTTATGAATGAAACTTCTGTTTCATACAATTCTTCAATTATTTATTAATATATCAATTTTGATTAATTAGTGAATCAATGACATCTTCATCTACACTCAGTTTCATAAGCATTTTCATTCTTCATAATAAGTAGAGAGTGAGATCAGAAGTATTGAAATATATAAGAGTATCTAAACATTCTTTCAGTGCTTTTGTATTTGATTCTGTAGATGTTGAAATTGCATGAGTTTCTTATTAAGTTAATTATTGAATTTCCTTATATTGAAGTTATTAAGTTGTATACATATCAGCTATCTGTTGCTGTTGTAATTTCAACATTACTTAAAGTCACTGTGATATTGCATCTATGCTTGTATTTGAGAGTTCTCTCATATTATCATTAGACATGATTATATTGATTGTCAGATATGTGTAATTATATAAATATCTTATATATCTGTGTCAGAACTCTCAGATCTTTCACTAATATTCTCTTTGTAAGATCTTACTCTCTTTGTAAGATCTTCTTATAAGATCAGAGTGACTGATAAGCAAGCTTCTATCTGAGAACTCAGTGTCTGCTTAACTATTTAACTGTTTCTCTATTTCTTACATGTTATTATGTGTTCAGATATCTCAGTGAGTAATTATTTCTAATAAGAAGATAATGAATGTTTTTCAAGTGTAAGAGACCTACACTGAATAGATCAATATAATATATAGATCTTATATAACAAAGTGAAAAATGTTAAAGAAGAAAAAGAAAGAGCAGATGTGAGAATCAGTGATTGAAGTGAATATTTATACATGTACACAGTGCATATGCGGTGAAGCTTCAGAGTGGAAAAATAGAAATTCTGTGAGTTTTTCAGCTGAGAATCAGTGATCAAGAATGACTGAGAATCGGAGCTTTCAGCAGAATCTATGAAGTGTAAAGAAATAGTCTATATAATGATCAGACGCAGCCCGTCACATTATAAGAAAAAGAGATATATAATTATTTCTAAGAAATTAAAAGAATAAGTTAATAATCTGATCTGAATTCATGACTTTTATCTTTCTATATTAAATAATTTTAAGAAAATAATAAAGAGAGTTATATTAAAATTAGTGAAGAATCTTTTAAAATAGATTAAAGAAGTTAAAACTCACTAATAGAAAGTAAAAGCTTAATATATAAAGAGTATTACTATTGCTCTGAAAGCTCTGAATATTATTATCAATACTACTGAAAAAGCTAAAATTAAGATTAAGAAGATTAAATTGAATATTGAAAGAGTGAAATTAAAAATTAAAAAGAAAAAAGTTACTATAGAAAAGAAGAAAATTATAATTAAAAAGATAAAACTTAATATTGAAACTATCAAGCTTGAAGTATATTACAAGCTTTTAAGAATGATAGTTAGTTATATTAAAGAATAAAAATCAGTAATAATAAAAATTTTATAAATTTAATAAATAATATTAATACTGAGCTAGCTATATTATCATTAAAATGTATAAAATAATAAAGTATATTCAGAGATTTATAGATTATCTTAATAAGAATTCAGTTATAGTCAGTAATAATAGTAGTAGTAATAAGAAATTTAATAATAGTAATAATTCTCTTCTTATCTTTCTCACTGATACTTCTACTACTACTGTTAATTCTTTTCTCTCTTTCTTCTCTAATCTTCTGACTTCAGTTGATTCTCTGACTATAAACAGCACTGAAACTTTTAACATTCTTAGTGAAAAAGTAAATTAGAATCAGTGAAATGATTCTCAGATTTATACAGAAGTTAATAATAATATAGATAAGTAAATATACAGCTTTTAATCTTCTTAAAATTTCTTCTCTTAAATAGTGATAATTATTGATACTGACTCTTCACAAACTTTAATACTAATTTACAAGTTCTCTGAAATAAATATTGATAGAAATATGATAGTAAATGATAATAATAATATAAAGATAATTTGAAGAATTCAGAAGAAATTACAGAGAAATGTAACAGATTTTCAATAGAGAACAATTTCAGTGAATGAGATGTTTTTTAGAATTAATGATTATATAGATAGGAATCAGTGATATTGTTAATACAATGATGATTTTATTCTATTCATAACTCATTTACAGTGATTTCACAGCTAATTCATCATTATATTAAGTTTTACAGTTCAGTGACAGTGTCGCTGACTGGCATGGCAGAACAACCATAACCCGGTTGTATAATAAGCCTACGTTTTTCCGGTAAGGCTCGGAAAAGTTGGTTTTTCTATAATATATAGAGAGATAGTTTTGTCTAGTATAATTAGTTGCACAGGTCAGGTGTTGATTTGATTGCATAATTGATTTTCTATTTACAGAACTGTGATGAAAAACCTCGGCCGAATCGAAGGAAACAGGAACAGATAGTACTCTTTATAAAACACAGAGGCTGATTATTTATTTATTTTAACCCTGCGGAAAAAAATCTAAAAGGAAAAAAAGTACATCATACGCATGCCACATGCCTCACCCAACATAAATGCACCGCCATGCCCAGCCGCAGGACCGAATGAAAAAAGAAGTAAGTGAAAACTAAAACCTGCTGAAGGACAAGGAGAAACCCACCCAGACAGGGAAAGAAAAAGTGAATCTTAAACCCCCGCATGTTCTAGCAAAGTAGTAGCATTATTCATTCCTCAGTCCCCTTATACTCCTGCACCCATATTATGAACAGGATATATGCAGTCATAAAAAACAAAGATAAAAAAGGGTTACTAGAAACCCTGTGGGAGTGGCAGGTAACAGTTAAGAGAGAAAAAGGGTCAATAACTTTCAAATGAAACCTTTATACGGAAAATGAATAACATTTGAGTTAACAGAGCTCCTTTTGAAGAGATATAACAACCAGATGAACTCGGAAGAGAAATTGAAGGTATAAAAATGAAAAATGCAACAGAAACGAGAATAAAAGAGAAGAATATCGGTGGTCATATACGGTAAACGCATTTCCGCCCTATTTTCACAAATGAAATGTGCAGAAAATATTTCAAGGGCCATCGTCGTGTAAAGAAGAACATACAACCCGATGCAAGTCAGATGAAGCGAAGATAAAAGATAACTAGAGAAATATATATTTGCGTAGTTCGTGATCGTGACTCCATGTTTGATTTGGGGTTTGAATACAAAACCCGCCCAACCTGCCACCATGAAAATCGCTTCGAGCGTAGACGATCCCGCGGAATTCAAATAAGAGGTGTCGAACGTATATAACAGATAGTAGGGCGCAGAAGTAAACCTTTCAGAGGCGTTGCTTTGAATTTATGTGAAGTTTTTGGTATAGAGAACTCGAGTGTTCAGTGAGATCTTTGTCAGGGTGGCGGCGAATTTTCGGGTAGTGTGTGAACGACACGATGGGAGCCACAAAAGATGTTAATATCGCGCTACGCAATTGCGTAACAAGAGGGTGAAATTGGTGCACCCAGCTTGATAGGAATATAGCAAGCTTATGAAAGTCCCAGAAGTAGAGGAGAACATCCGTCATCGAGTTATAATTAGGGAGAGTTCCTCAATGCAGGACGCTACGGATCCGGATATTCCAGCAATACTGTAGCCCCTTGGTGGTATCAATGTATGGCTAATAGGACAAAAAGTTAGCCACAATTATCAAATTCGCTATTACCCACTCAAGAGAGGAAGCTTAGCCAATTAAAGTCCCATGTAACAAGGATGTAAATATAGAATATGATAAAAAGAAGCAAGAATGTCATGTCCTCACTTACCCAGCTCTACCGTTGCCGTTTCCGAAAACCGCAGATTTCCTGCTGAGATTCGTGATAAGTCCAATGCCATCGATTTGCCTGCCCATCTTCACGTAAAATCCCATTAGGATTTCACCACGACGAGTGTCTGGTTGATCCAAGAGATACATATTAGCATTGTACGAAGTAGAAGAAGGGTAATCGGAATTAGGGGTGGTAGAGTTACCAAACACAAATTCGCTACGGGTAGAGTTGGAATTTTTGTGCCCAAATACCTGGCTCGTGGAGTCTTCGTAACAAAACTCTAATCCGTATATAAAGCCATTATGATAGACTTTCACGGAGACCAGAAGCTTCGTCTGGATGAAGGCACATTCCAGGAACAGTTGTTCTGGGATACTATCTAAGGATAGAGCTTGCCCCAATTTGTTGCCCCTGTATCCAACTTGCCCAGTAGGTAATTTAGCAGTCGAATGTTTGGATTTGAGTTTGCTAATGTCGTCAATCGTATAAGTGCTAAGGATGCCGGAATATATCACCAACTTGATCTTTCTCTTCTTGTTAGTGCTCTCAGGAGTTTGCCGGCGAATCTCAGCTTCGGTGAGAGCGATCTGCTTCGGGATGCCATTATTGCCGGAATCACCATCCACGTATTCGAGATACGACCTGCAGATCTCATCATTGTCCACGTAAATTTCGATGAAAGCAATGCCAGCTGACGAAGTGATTAATATCTTGCCATTGTCAACGGGCCATACTTGAACTGAGTCATCAGAGCGAGGAGGTGAATCTCGTGGCAGCCGGAAGCATGCATGAAATCTAAAACGAAGGGTATCAAGTCTATGCCAGTTACATTCGTCCTCATTAAGGCAGAGTCGCAGTCCCTGTGCCTTCGTTCGAGTAGAATATGGTTCTCGAATTGTGAAGCTTCGATTCAATAGAATGCAATCTCCACACATGATACCACTCTCTTGATTGCGACAGCCAAATAAACAGCCAATTGAACGGAGATGGCCGCCAATCCCGGAGTTAACAGCTTCCCAGTTGCTCCCACACTCATTTCTGTAATTGGCAACGAAATTAGTATCCGTCCGTGTGCAGTCAGTGAAAGCTGTGACTACTTCTTCCATGGCGGTTGGGTAACTTTGCAACGCATAGGATCCAAAAAGAGCCAGCTTGATATTATCTCCATCAGAGCCCGCTGCGGCATGACATGTGATTTTCTGGGATCCTATGTCCCAGTGGGTATCAAGCATTAGTGCCGAGACATACTGCATTTGGCCATCTCCAGTCCCAAAATAACGTTTGATAGCCTCAAGTACAACGTTGAAGAGCTCACTCGCATCCGATTTAGTGCCACCCTGTCCCACAACACTAAGATTTCTCAGATCGTTAACCGTTCTGTCGCAGCGTATAATGTGTATCTTGGCCTCGTTTCTCATCTGATGTGACTTCGCGTCCCGTAGGCTCAGCGTTCCAACCTGCCACTCCTCTTCAAATCGGAAACAGCGCCTTCCGAACTTATTTCGGTACATCTGTTCCCCAGTAAACGACTGCCACATATACGCAGCCATTCGAAATTTCCGTATTGCGGTCTCCAAACCGTTTCCCTCCCGTGATATTCTCTCGGGAACCGCATCAAAACGGCCATCGGAATCGCTCCCCAGCACAATTGCGAGCTGGAGGGGAGGAGAGTTTACTAAAGGCAGGTAGTTAATGCTCACCCATGACGAATGGGCAATTGGGTTCTGAATTTTTGAGGAGGTGAATTCAAGTCGTAGCTTGTTAGGACCTGGGATAAGATGGACCAAAGCCTTGAAGTGTGACTCATAAACAGGCCAGGTGATGGGAGGGAACGAATCTTGGGAATGGTGGATAGTTATGTTTCCATCAACGGAGTGCTGTCGTGCGTCTCCAGTCTGACCATAAATTAGGAGGATTTTTTGATGTACCTGATCAAAAGGGTTAACATTAGCACACTTTTAGATAGCAAACAATATATTCAGGAGCAGGATAGAAAGGGTTATACGCATACCCAAGAGTTATCGGAAACAGAAAAAACTCTCGGGGCATACAGAGGCACCGGTGCAGAACCTCTTCCGGAATTTGTCAGACAGTGATGACTACCATTCTACATGAACGCAAAACATTAGCGATAGAATCCAAACGGCTTGTATGCTTGTAGTACGCTTGTATCAAGGGATGGCCTTGGAAATAAAACTCACAGTACCATTGCTCCGGCTTGACTGGGACCCAATTGGAACAGGTCTCTGTGGTGGCGTCACCTGTGGGCCATCTCCGTTTCCGTTCAATTTCGAGAGGGTAGATAAATGAGGAAAGGGTAAGTCGGGACTGTTGCTTTTGAGAAAAGATACAGAGGAGCTACGCAAGCTAGGAATCGGGGAGTCGAGAGTAGATGAGGATTTGTCAGGGAGTACGTCGTCATTGGCATTGAAGGAGGAAGACGGGGTCAAGCTAAAAGTAGCCCTGGAGCGGCGACGGAGGTCCTTGAAAAATGGCATTATTTCTTCAAATGGAGTGAGATTCTAGAGGATTTTGAAGCCGTCTAGTCTCATTGCAACTGGACGCGAACTAGATCGACGATTGAAAGTGGCTTTGTGTGTGCAAGGGGAGCGGAGAAAGGTAAGTTAATAGACAATGAAGCAAGTAATTGTCGTGTAGGGAATGCGAGAAAGCTTGTGCGAGCGAAGAAGGATAGGTTATACTGGTAAGCTCAGCCGGGCATTAAGGGAATATCCACAACATCAATGGAGGAACGATCGAGGATCTCACACCCTGGTACAAGGAAAGAGCAGAAGATTTCAAATCGCGTATGCAACGAGATTGTGGACAGGAGTTCGGGAGGTAGAGAAGAGAAATTAACGAATGTCGAGAATTTCAGAGTGCGAAAGAGATCCCATTCGAACCGAAAGCGAGAGACTTGACACGAATGGGAGATACGGGCTGAAAAGACGAATGGAATATGCTATAGATGGAAAAGAGGGAAGCAAAATCGGAGGAAGATCCAGTTTTTGGTCACCAGCTGGCTAGGTACCTAAGCTATGTGGTGAAGATAGCCGTGTGTTGTGGACGTACATGTACATGTACATTGTACTGTACGGGGATGATAGCCCTGGAACGGGAATTGCGTAGTCAGTCATGAGTGAATCAAACCAACAGCGTAGCCACTGACGAACACGCCCAATTAAGCTGGCCAGTGCCCCCTGGTTTGAAAAAGAGATAATGCCATCAAGCAATGACGGGACCCACATATTACTAGACACATATTAGACACACGCAACAGCCCAGGCTACAATTGCTTGCAGTTTGTCAAGAGGTCATCCTGTATCCTGCCTGTCACTGATGCTTGATGACGCCCCTCCCTGTCTTTGAGACAAGGCTGAAGATCCTGGCTCCCGGAATGTCAGCCGGGAGGGTTGGCTTGGTTTTCCTTGTTTTTGGTTTTCCCTTTCGCAATGTTGTCAACCTCACCGGCCAAGGGCTTGCTTGTTCTTCTAGAAAAGAAACTTGCGGGGATATAACTAATGTGGGGAGTGATGAAATTTCTCGGGATACAGATTGAGTTCTCTGTACTCCGTAGTTATTGTGGCGGACATATTACTTGCGAAAACAGAATTTTCCCAGCCCCCCCTGAAAATTAGTAGCAAAACACCACCAAAAAATCAAAATATCCGCATTTCTCTAGAATCATTCAATATCATCCAATACATGTCTTTTTCAATCAAATATCATCCAAATACGCGTCTTTCTTACCTTTATCATCAATATGCCACCTCAACTCTGTGATTTCACCACCAATGAGATTGTACACCTTCTTAAGGATGGTTATATGCCTGCTGAGATCGCGCGAAGCATTGATTGTCACCTGACTACTGTATATCAAATTCAACAAAATCTTCACTGCTTTGAAACTGCTAGAGGACCCCATTCAACACACAGTGTAAAGTCAAAGATCACACCAGATATCTTGTCAGAATTGAAGGATTTTTTCGAGATGTATTCAACTGCATATCGCGATGAGGCTGTCTGCTTTGTGAAGAATGAATTTGATGTTGATATCCACCCGCAGTCAATATCTAGAGTGTTGAAGAAACTTATTATTATTATTATTCTTCAATTATAGATGTATGCAGTCAGAGACTATGACATCTACCTGAGAACTTTTAGTTCTCAGGGTTTTTCCTATATCTGTAAAGTTAACTATTATACATTCATCAATTTCAGATATACAAAATCAGAAAATTTCAGCTCAGAATACAAAAACTGTTTATAAATTACAGTATTTTAACATCTTCTAATACTTTGAAATCATTTGACAATATCATGACAAAGAAAAAGAGAACACAGTCTTAAAGATAGATATATTAAATAAATAGATAGAAAGAAATTGAAAGAAAAAGATAAAATAAAGAGAGACTGTAATAAAATAAATTATTAAAAGATAGTATATAGCTATTTTAATAGACTATATCTGATTGATTTTCTTCTCTTCATATTCAGATAATTCTGAATTTAGTCATTTTCTTATAGCTGCTTGAGTTTCTGATAGAAAGTCTATTAAATATTTAATTTCTATCTCAGTTAAGAATAAGAATCTTATATTTAATTAATTTAGATTATACTTCTCTTTCAATCTGACTCTGAGACTATTGTATAATGTATAGTATATTATAATATACTCAGAATTCTCATTTATATTATAGAATAAGTATTCTATTGAGTCAAATCTATTATTAAATCTTTATATATAAGATTTGAAATAGTCATATTCTAGTTTCAGCTATATTATAGATGAGAATATTTTCTTTTTATATTTAATTAAACAAGATTTTCACTTAAGTTTTATTTTAAATCTTGAATAATATATACTCTTCTTTTATTTCTATCAGCTTTCATTTCACTTATTTAAATAAGATTCTTTTATTTTTCTCTTTATAAAAGATCAGAATATAATTTTTTGAATAGATCTACTTAATTCTGTACTCTTTTTTACAGCTGAATCAGTCAATTCATTGTCATGAATATTCATATAAGTAGAAACTTAGTATAGATGAATTATCAGCTTTGATATTCTTCTCTTTTAAATTTTTAAAACAGAGTTTAAGATCAGTTTAAAATTCATTTAATTATTATAAATCTAACTATTTTTAAGTCTTTTTAAAGCAGTTTAACTATTAGAGAATATTTATATCTCTTTCAAACTATTTTCTCTTTTATAAGATTTTATTTCAATGAGTTTGAAAGCTTTTACTATTATAAATAGTTTAGTATCAAAGACTTCAGATTCACAGTCTAGATTTCAGAAATCTGAGATAAAATTAATATTATCTTTAGTATAAGCAATGTCTGTATCTAATCTATTTAAATTCTCATTTTTTAAGTCATCTGAATAAATCAGAATAGAGTCTTTTATATTAATTATAGAAATTCTCTTTAAATACTGTTTATATTCTATCTCTTTTAATAGTTCACTTATTTATAAGTTTATAAGAGATTCAAGCTTTTCTCTTCAGAGAGATAGCTTCTCATAATTAACTTTTTTAATATTTAAAGAAGAAAATTAATTTTTAATTAGAGAGTATAGTCTGTATAGTTGAGAAGATATTTTCTTTAAAGAATTATTTTCATTTTAATCAAGAAATCTATTTTAATTCAGTTCATTTCAGGAGT